CGACTTTCTATTCGAAATCTACTACTAGTATAGAGTATTTTAAGAATTATTATTAAATAATAACGCTAATCTAACTTCGAAGATTATCGAGTACTATCTTAATTACGTTAAGATAAAGTATTATATAATAATCTTTTACTATCTCTAGACTAACGGAAAAATAAAAAAATTTAATAAAATACTAGATAAGATCCTAATAAAGTAACTTATTAAATAATAAATTCTCTTATAAAATAAGTATCTTTTATTAACGTTATTTATAACTTATATTAGATTCTATATAGTAACTAGAATAAGTTTATATAAGCTTATCTACGGACTCGAATCTTAATTAATAGACGATTAACGAGAATTCGATTTATTAAACGTTAATATTAACTTTATCTTAAGACTAGAATAGTTATATATTATATATTATAAAGTAAATAAGCTACTAGTTAAGAGAGAGCTCTACTCTTAAAAACTATAATTAACGCGTTTAGAAACGCTATATTTTTTACTTAAAGAAGGCGATTTTATTCTTCTAAATAATATATTAAAGTAGAAATTTAAATCTAACTACTTCGGACTATTTCGGATTCTAAAGAAGCTATAATTTAGTATATATATATTAAAAATAATAGACTAGAAGATCTTACGTCTATTTATCTATAAAAGCCGCCTAATATAGTATTACTTAATAGATTTAGATAAGTAGACGATTCGATCGTTTACTAAAGTATAGTAAATACGACTCTAAATAGTTAAAGATAATATAACGAAGCTTTTAGATAAAGTACTTTAGATATTTAGTAACGAGTCTAATCCTCTAATATACTATAAGCTATTAATAATATTAAAGTAATAATAAATATCGTAAGAATAACTAGAAGATAGTTTAAGTAAGATAAAGAAGAGCTATAAAGCTAAAGTAACGCTAGTAAATAGATATCGACGAAATAGAGGATAGAAGCTAATATTCTATAATACGATATCGATAGAGAAGACTATAATAATCTATAAAAGATAAACTATAATTAAAGTAGCTCTCGCTTCTAATTCTCTAGAGTAGATTACTCCGCCTTTAAGTAGATAATATCTTATCGCTAGGAAAAGTAATAAAGATATTAGTACTTCGAGAGTATTAAATAGAATAACTAGAATAGAGATTATCTCTTTATATATCTAGATTAGGTAGAAATAGAGAAGTAGTAATAGATTCTTATAGTCTAACTCTCTTAATACGCGAAGAATAGGGAATAAAGAGACTTTTAGCTCTCT